TCACCACAACCTCCACCTCCTGGGTTCAGGCAATTCTCCTGCCTCAGCCTCCTGAGTAGCTGGGATTACAGGGACGCACCACCATGCCCAGCTGATTTTTTGTATTTTTAGTAGAGACAGGGTTTCACCATGTTGACCAGGACGGTCTCGATCTCTTGACCTCGTGATCCACCCGCCTCGGCCTCCCAAAGTGCTGGGATTACAGGCGTGAGCCACCACGCCCGGCCCAAGAGACTTCAGCATTCTTCTTATTTTATTTTCAGACGGAGTGTTGCTCTGTCAGCCAGGCTAGAGTGCAGGGGCATGATGTCAGCTCACTGCAACCTCTACCTCCCTGGTTCAAATGATTCTCCTGCCTCAGCCTCCCGAGTAGCTGGGACTACAGGCCCGTGCCACTATGCCTGGCTAATTTTTGTATCTTTAGTAGAGATGGGATTTCATCATGTTGGCCAGGCTGGTCTCAAACTCCTGACCTCAGGTGATTCACCCACCTCAGCCTCCCAAAGTGCTGGGAATATAGGCGTGAACAACCTCGCCTGGCAATTTCTGCTGTTTAAGCAATACCATGACAGCCCAAGCTGAAAAGTAGACACTCTTCTCTGTGTGGTGAACGCTCACACACACACACGTCATTCAACAAATATGTACTGGGCACCTAATACATGTGCGATGCTGGGGAAAGAGGTGGCAAAAATGAGCTCCCTGCCTGCATGGGACTCCCAGACAAGAGCCACCAAATGCAATCGGAGTCCCAGTAAGGACACGCAGCGCGCTGGGAAAGCCCGGAGAGGGCTCCCAACCCAGTCTGGGTCAAAGGGCTTCCTAGAGGGGACATCTAAGGAAAACCCTGAAGGAGTGAGGGAGATCCCAGCCTGTACGGGGGGGGGACGCAGGAGGTAGGCTAGAAAAACGGGCGATTTTGTATTCCAAGATGAGAAGGTGTGGAGGGAGTTAGAGCCGAGAGGCCCAATCTGTGGGTCACACAAGCCCTCTGGGGTTGGTGAGGAGGTGGACTCTCCAGATGGCAGGAGCTGGCAGCCCAGGCGGGACCCAGGGAGTGGCTCAGGCTGGGCGAGGGGCACACTTAGGAGGGGATCAAGACCCCACGGATGTGAAGGTAAAAGAATAGAATACGAAGCTCAACAATGCCTCCTCCAAGCAGCCCTCCCGGCTATCCCTTCAGGGCTCCCCCACCACTAAGCCCCCTACAAGAGGCCGGGGGCGTCCGCACCCAATCTGTCCCTGTCAAGACCGGAAGCTGCCCAGGGGCAGTCCGGGATCGGGTGGCCTCGAACACTAGCTGTAGCGCCGGGCTTCAGTAGTCTGGTCTGGAAATGGGCACCATCCCCAATTAGGTCCGGGACGCGGAAGTGCTCCCGCCTCCCAGCACCCCTCCTCCAGCCTTCCCAGGGGATGGTCCCAGGCCAAACACCCCCCGCCCCGCGCCTCTGCCCCCCCCCGAACCCAGGTTCCGCCCGCGCCGCAGCCGCTCCTACCTCCTTACCCCAGCGCCGGCCCAGTCGCGCCTCCGTGACGTCACTGCGGGGCCTGCGCGCTGAGCTCCTGGCGACGGCCGCTCATTGAGCCTCGGTACCGCCGCCATCTTGGTAAAGGAAAAGATGGCTGAGCCTCGGACCCAAGCCAGGGTAGTCGGCGACTTAAACTTTGTCTTTTCAAAATGGGGACACTTCATACGCCCTCATTCCTTACTTTCACTTTATATAATGACGAACCAGGAGGGGCGGACAAAGGCGAAAGTCTGGAACATTACCTTTACCAAGATGGCCTATGCCCGGATTAAAGATGGCGGCTGCGACTACACACGTGGTCCGGCGGCTTCAGCCAGGAGTGGCCTGGCCACCAGAGCGCGCCCGTGGTCTATGCGGGGAGTGGACCCGGCAGAGCCCAGAGGAAGCCTCTCCGCGCCTCTTCTCAATCCCTTAGCACGTTAAAAGTGCTTTCCTCGTCCTGAGTCTCTGCGTTTCACTTGCGACGCTGGGGCGGGGCTGAGAGAGGCGAGAGAAATGGGGCAGAGAAATTACACACCGCGCAGTCCAGGTGGGGAAACTGAGGCTCAGAGAGACCAGGAATTGAGTTTGGCCAAAATGTAACCGCAAGTAGGCTCAAATTCTGTCTCTTGCTCCTGCCGGTGCCTCCTCCTGGATTGCTGACCCGCTCCCCACCTGTGCAATATTATTTATTAATGTTATTTAGCAATTAGGTTCGGGGCGCCAATGTGTCTTAGGCACTGTACTTTAGGATTTCTGCATTTACTACTTAGTGTCCTCATCAGTAAAAATGGCAATATTAGGTGTCTAAGGATGGCTACCAGGGTCCTGACTGTGGGGAGGGAAAAGCAAACGCATTTGGGGCAGTGCAGGTAGGACTAGTTGATCACAGAGTCCATTCCCTAAAAGGCTTCCCCTCAGTGACCTTGCTGGGTCACTCCCAGTGCTGGAGGCACCTCCCCTGCTCTAAGGCCTCGCCTGGGTTCCCATTGTCCCACCAGACTCCTCCCACCTCCCACACCATCTCCCTGGCCCTCCCTCCCGTCCTTCCCTTAGCTCCCAGCTCAGGTGGTACCAGCCCCCTTCTTACAAATTGCCTGGGGCAGTCCTGCCTCAGCGAGTTCCCCCAGGAATTTCCCAGGTTTTTCCATGGGCAGCTCCCTCCCTGGCTTCAGGCCTTGCCCTAAATATCCCGTCCTCAGAGAGATTCTCCCAGATACCCCCCAACAAGGCAAAAGGGACCCCGCCTTCTCCAGCCCTTTCTTTTCTTTTCCCTTTCTCTCTCTCTCTCTCCTTTCATGTTGGCCAGGCTGGTCTCAAACTCCTGAACTTGTGATCTACCTGCCTTGGCCTCCCAAAGTGCTGGGATTACAGGCGTGAGCCACCTTGCCCGGCCTCTTCTTTCTCTCCCTCCCTTCCCTCTTTCCTTCCTCCCTCCCTCCCTCCCTTCCTTCCTTCCTTCCTCCCTCCCTCCCTCCCTCCCTCCCTCCTTCCTTCCTTCATTCTTCCTCCCTCCCTCCCTTTCTTTTCTTCTTTCTTTCTTCACAGTCTTGCTCTGTCACCCAGGCTGGAGTGCAGTGGCGTGATCTTGGCTCACTGCCACCTCCGCCTCCTGGGTTCAAGTGATTCTCCTGCCTCAGCCTCCTAAGTAGCTGGAATTACAGGCATGTGCCACCGCACCTGGCTATTTGTATTCTTAGTAGAGAGGGGTTTCACCCATGTGAGCCAGGCTGGTTTTGAACTCTTGACCTCAGGTGCTCCACCCGCCTCAGCCTCCCAAAGTGCTGGGATTACAGGCATGAGCCACTGCACCCAGCCCCTCTTTCTTTTTTATTTCATCGAGTTGCTTTATCTGTTTGTGGACTTGTTTAGTTTTGCTCACCCCTGTGGCTTCCATGTTCAGAGGTGAAGTTCCTGCATCTGGAGAGGTGTTTGGCCTTTAGAACAAGAGGCTCAGGCTGGGCGCGGTGGCTCACGGCTGTAATCCCAGCACTTTGGGAGGCCGAGGCGGATGGATCACGAGGTCAGGAGTTCAAGACCAACCTGGGCAAGATGGTGAAACCTGTCTCTACTAAAAATACAAAAAATTAGCTGGGCATGGTGGCACGAGCCTGTAGTTTCAGCTACTCGGGAGGCTGAGGCAGGAGAGTCACTTGAACCCGAGAGGCAGAGGTTTCAGTGAGCCAAGATCGCGCCATTGCACTCCAGCCTGGGCGACAGAGCAAAACTCCATCTCAAAAGAAGGAAGAAGGAGAAGAAGAGAAGGGGGTGGGGAGGAGGGGAGGGGGAGGAGGAGGCAGCTCAGTATAACCATGTATTGAACCTTCCACTGGTAGAGAGCCAGGCTTGTCACGTCTTCGCAACCGGCCTCCTCCTCCTTCATATTGACATAACTTAGGAGTGTAGGTCAAGTGAATTTCTTTGTTTGTTTGTTTTGTTATTACAGTCAAGTCTTGTAACAAAGTCAGGTGAATTTCAATCTAGGAAGAGCTATGTCTTCGGCAAGGTGACTTCTGGTGTCCCCCAGGCACGCTGCCAGAGAGTACAGAACGGCTTCTCCTGTTCCAACATTCTAGAGCTTTTAGGGGTGCACGTTCTCAAATAAGTACTGAGGTCCTACTGTACGCCACAGCTGGTACCACACAGCAGGATGAGACAGAAAGGCCGCTGGTTGCAGGGGACTCAGAGTTGGAAAATCACATGAAAGGTTATCATCCTGGCTGGTCACAGTGGCTCACGCTTGTCATCCCAACACTTTGGAAGCAAAAGGCGGGAGGATCACTTGAGGCCGGGTGTTTGAGACCAGCCTGGGCAATATAGTGAGACCCCATCTTTACAGAAAATAAAAATACTACCTGGGCGTGGTGGCAAGCTTACCTTCCCATTCAAGAGGATCACCTGAGGCCGGGAGTTGGAGGCTGCAGTGAGCTCTGATAGCCCCTGCACTGCAGCCAGCCTGGGCAAAAGAGCCTCTTTTAAAAAATAATAATAATGTCTGGTGTTGATGGGATGACATTTAAATAAATAAAAATAAAAATAAATAATAAAGGCCAGGGACAGTGGCTCACGCCTGTAATCCCAGCACTTTGGGAGGCCGAGGCAGGCAGATCACCCGAGCTCAGGAGGTGGAGACCAGCCTGGCTAACATGGTAAAACCCCGTCTCTACTAAAAATACAAAAATTAGCCAGGCGTGGTGGCACATGCTTGTAATCTCGGCGACTCAGGAGGCTGAGGCAGGAGAATCACTTGAGCCCGGGAGGCAGAGGTTGCAGTGAGCTGAGATCATGCCATTGCACTCCGGCCTGGGCTACAGAGCAAGACTCCATCTCATCAACAAATAAATAAATAAAATTAAAGACCAAGCACAGTGGCTCATGCCTGTAATCCCAGGCTGAGGTGGGCAGATCAGCTGAAGTCAGCTGTTTGAGACCAGGCTGGCCAATATGGTGAAACCCTATCTGAAAATTATCCAGGTGTGGCATGTGCTTATAATCCTAGCTACTTGGGAGGCTGAGGCAGGAGAATTGCTTGAAGACCGGAGGCGGAGGTTGCAGTGAGCTGAGATCGCGCCATTGCACTCAAGCCGTAAGACTTTGTCTCAAAAGTAATAATAACAATAAAATAAAATAAATAACTATTCTAATCGTGACTAGTCGTGTCCAGGGTTGAAATAGAGTTGTGGAGGCCCACAGCCCGGGCGATCAAGGAGGGCTTCTCAGAGGTGGTGGCATTTAAACAGAGCTCTGAACCTTGAGAAGGAAAGAGCTGAGTGAAAAAGAAAGGGAAAGGTGTGGTGGGCAGAGGGAACAGCATATGCAGAGGTGAGGAGGTGAGTATAAAGTGAGGAAGACAAAAGTAGCCCCAGACCACGGCCAGGTACAGCTAAGTAACAGTTACAGCTAAGCTGTGGAGTGTTTTTTTTTTTGAGACGGAGTTTTGCTCTTGTTGCCGAGGCTGGAGTGCAATGGTGTGATCTCGGCTCACCACAACCTCCGCCTCCTGGGTTCAAGCGATTCTCCTGCCTCAGCCTCCCAAGTAGCTGGGATCACAGGTGTGCACCACCACGCCTGGCTAATTTTGTACTGTTAGTAGAGACTGGGTTTCTCCGTGTTGGTCAGACTGGTCTCAAACACGCGACCTCAGGTGATCCACCTGCCTCGGCCTCCCAAAGTGCTGGGATTACAGGTGTGAGCCACCGCCCCCGGCCCACCCTTCCGTAATTGAGTTTTAGCACATGTGAATAGAAGAGCATTGGCCAAACCACAAATATGTCCAAACCTCCCCATCTCCTGGCCAAAGGGAGTGACTGCTAGTTTCACCCCACCAGGTTCCCCTGCCTTTTAGGTAAAAAATTATTGGCCGGACGCAGTGGCTCACACCTGTAATCCCAGCACTTTGGGAGGCCAAGGCAGGCAGATCACGAGGTCAGGAGTTCAAGACCAGACTGGCTGACGTAGTGAGACCCCGTCTCTACTAAAAAATAAAAAAATTAGCTGGGCATGGTGGCTCATGCCTGTAATCCCGGCTGTTTGGGAGGCTGAGGTAGGAGAATTGCTTGAACCGGGACCTGGGAGGTGGAGGTTGCAGTGAGTTGAGATGGCGCCACTGCACTCCAGCCTGGGCTACAGAGCAAGACTCCATCTCAAACAAAAGAAAAAAAAGATTATTAAAATACTTAGAGAATGGTCCCCGCTAGTTGTTGGCATGCAGGCCAGGGGACAATCCTGCTCCCTTGACCTCTCCTCACACCGCCCCACAGTTCCCGTAGTTCTATGATACACTCCTCACTTTCTGAGACGAACAGAACCCCTTCCGGTGTTGCTTCCTTCAGGGCAGTGAATCCATAAACCCACCTGGGTTTCACTGCAGCCTTTTCTGGTGGTAACTGACACCAACAGGTCTATGGGACTGGATGTCTGAGTGAGATTGGGCTGAGACCCTCCCTGCCACCAACCAGTACCCTCCACTCAGCAAAAGTGCGTACATGTGAGGCGGGGCTGAGTAGCTGGGATGACAGGCGCCCACAACCACGCCCAGCTAATTTTTGTATTTTT